TGTATAAGACTTTTGGTACCATCATGCACTAAGAAACTTCCAAATGCATTATAATATCGCTAGGGATAATCCGCCCACGCGTCAATCCAAGTTGTTAATATTTATATCTATATATTTACGGTGGGTTTCGCATGAACTTGAGAGTTGCTCACCATACGTAGGTGAATCGAAGCGAAAATTACTCTGTATAGTATTGCAATAAAATATTACTAATTAAGACCACAAATTCAAAGATATTATAATTTCACTTAACTTTAAGATGTTACTAGCACACTAAAACAGTCATTCTACAATTCGAACATGTGAAAATACAAAGGAGAAAGCACATGTAGAAAAGTGCAGACTCACGTTTTCGAAATGTCATTAACAACTCACCACAACAACATATTCTATATCAATTAAGGTTATGGAAAAAATAGTAATATCTCTTTCACATTGAATCATTGATCGATGTATCTTCCACTTCGCAAGTAAGTTAAATTTCCTAAACCTTTTGAAGTTTTTGTTTATTGGTAACCCTAAAAACCTTTTGAAGTTGTTTAACTATAAAAAGTACCATTAAAAGGTTAAAACCTTATTTAATTAGATGTAATGGATGGATAATCAAACAATATTTAGATAGTGTAGAAAGGTGATTGAGAATAACTAAGAAACAACTTTTGATGTTGTTTTTTGAGTCAGTATTTATTGAATTTCATTTTTTTGGTTGTTGAACTTGAAAGAGATAGATCTTTAACTAATAGTTTATTAGCTAAAATGGTTCTTAATTGGTATATCTCTTCATTTTAGTCCATAAGATTTCAAATCAATAGAATTAGTCATTGAGATTGTCGCTCGTCAATCGTTTTGTGAAAATCTCCGTTAAATTGAAGAAACCACCAGTTCAGGCGGAGAGGTTGATTCGATAAAAATACCCTTAATGTAACGTAGATTTTTCACAGAATGACTAAAATAATTAACGGTGGACAATTTCAGATATCACTTATATAAAATTTCAATGATTATTTTGGCTAAAAGCCTTAAATACTTTTCAGTCCCTTTCGCCTAGTAGGTACGTGGCTAACATTGCTGATGGTAACAAAAACTAAAATACAATGAGTCAGCCAAGAAAAAACAGAAAACAAATAAATACAAAGAAGCTTGGGGGTGATGATATATCTGTTTGCTTCAATCTTTTGAACATTTTTTATATTTTATTTTCGGTAACATGATTTTTTTATTTTTACCTAGACAAAGTTAACTCATCTGGATATTTTTTAAAAAGAAAAAACAAACAAACAAGCAAGTTTACGCATAATTTACATCATTTACTTATCGTTTTTTTGTTGGAAAATGTGTCTTTTTCATGTGTGCAAAAATAGTTTATGAGTCCGACTCCATCAAGTCTCAATCACCGCAACCAATCTTCATCAATCTTTATTGGGCCAAGATTTTGGCTCGTGACCTAATTTATGATTATTTCAATTTCTTATGTATAAATATTTTGTTTAAATTAAGTACGGTTCACTTCGATGACATCTGTGAAAAAATTACCAATTTTTTTATCATCCTAGTCCTACTATTTTGGAGCTATATATAAGTTGTGAAAGTCAAATAGTTCGATATCATAATCTAAAGATTATTAGTTTGTGTTTTACTTTTTGTTTGTAGTGTGAAAAATTAGTTTGTGGTAATTGTACTTCAATCAATCTCCATCAAGACTTGAATTATCATTGATTTAATTTTTAAACGAGTATTATATATTTAAATTCGGCACTCTGTACTTCAACAGAATATACAAAAAATTACCATTTTGCAATCTTCTTCTCCTTAACATTTTGGAGCTCTAAGCCGTGAAGTAGTGAAGTAGCGACGAAGTTTGAAGAAATAATATGCTCAAAATTAGAATAAGTAAAGAGTTCGATGCGATGATTTGAATAATTAGCTTCTATATGGGGTAGTTAAGATCTAGCATTGCATATGCTTGTTTGATACCATGCATACACAAGAATGACGACACAAAAGATTGGTTTGTTGGCAATTAGTGTTAGCATCTCTGCATCTGCAGCGGTAAAGTGTCCTCTAAGTTGGGAAAGTTCTCCCATAATGTTCCACTTTTAGGCAAGAGGCTCTGTGCTAAATGGGATTGGGAATTGGATTCCCTTGAAGCATATGTAGGATTCCAAATTCCTAAATGGTAGCAAGGAAACGTGAAGATTGTGAACGAAGGAAGTATATATAAGGGAATTAATAGGAGAGAATTTTCTGCACCAAGTGGATTTGGGGAATGGAGCATCTTCCTATGCTGCCAAGGTTCTCTCTGGAGAGGGAATTTGGATTATCTCTGGACCTTACTAATTTGCTGTTCTGAGCCTACGGATCAAAAAATTTGGGTTCGTGGTTTGTGTAAAGAGATCTGAAACTCTTGATTTGTGAGAAGTGGGCCATTGAAATGAGTTGATAGGGACCGTCTGATTGAATTTGAATAGTCAAGATTGCCTAATCTTTGGATTTCAGACTGTGAAATTCAAAGAGGATCTCTAAACCCTAGACCCGATCAAGTCTTCCTCCTAGAGGACTTTGAAATAATATGATCCATAACAAAGATTGATGGAGAGAGAGGGAGGGAGAGGGAGAGATTTTGGCATAAGGACCAAATTATTACTTTAGGGTTTCGATATATACTCTGAGGACATTATTTATACTCCATTAACCATAATAATAGAGTGAGGTTTGTACAGATTTTGATCCTTTATATTTTTTAAGGGAACATTTTAGAATTGAGTGAAAGGTGAAACCCATCTCATATTTTGCATCAACATTACAAGACATTTCCTTATTCCTATTGCATATATTCGATAGGTATCACACTGTGTCACTTTCTTCACTCGTCTGAGATTATGTGAGAAACGATAGTGATACAATCGGAATATGTAACAATAACATCATAGTTTTTTTTTTCCTTCTTATTTATAATATGAGAAGGAGAGAAGAAGAAAGAGTGACACAGTGAAGAGACACAATAATGTCGATTAATTTGTTTGGCATAATAGGATCAAATCTTTTGAGAGCTCAATTGAGTGTCCAAGATAATGATAGTAATACTAACGTGAGAGTGCACGATGGAGAGATGTATTATCGACCAAAATTTTTCTTCATAGTATGGTCGAAGATTTGAGAGTCAAAATGGTCGTCCGAGACAATGCAATAATAATGTAAAGATCCTCAAAATTAAAATAGCACTATTAATTGTATGACGTAATCATTCTGGAATCTGCATCCATTCATCATTTTCTGGATTCAGAAAGATTTTTCAGTGTACCGGAAATACAACCCGATACATCAAATGTAATAATAAAATTGATTAGAAACTTTGTTAAAAAAAAATTCAACAAATTATATTATGAAACTCAGTGTACCAACCATGTTCCCAACACTCCAAAAAGTTTCATTGTTAACAGAAAATCCAAAATCCTTCATTCAGGAATCCAAACTTTATGAATGATATTCCTTAACTAATTATGCTTCCTAGTGCTTGGTACGTTGAATTAAATGCAAGCCATATTTGGGCTTTTGGGCCTAACTTGGGCTTTGTTCGAAATACTTGTAAAAGCGGCAGCCTGGCGTAATATGCACCGTCCAATGACCCCAAATGCTTTTGGGGCTCCACTTTTTGGTTGTGACCCATGGACATCAAATGGAGCCTTCATGGAGCTCCACTTTTCTGTACCGTCTTCTTCAGAATATATCTTGGAAACTCAAATTCTACAATTTTGGATCCAAACGCAATGTTTTCCAATTGAACAATCCCATCCTAAGTTAGCTTGATCTAATTGCATCTTAATTTTATGTTAGTTGTAATAACAAACATTTTTGTTTCTATCCAATTCGCGAGAACTTGTGTTGCTTGAGAGAGATCAACAATAACAAAAAAATTGATTGACGGAAATATAAAACGAGTTGAGATTGAAATATTGAAATATATAATGACTTGTTTTGACGAATTTGTTGAGATTAGCAGAGTAGGCGTTTTTAGTGACCTGCGTAACTAGTGACTAAGTTGTCTGAATTGAAATCATTGTTTTGAATTGTGGGCTCTCGCCAAAGATGGTGAGACATGGAGGAGTAGGTGGGATCTCATGGGTATGTAATTAACACAACATTACTGTTATGTTGGTGATATGAACAAATAGACGGCGATGGTTAATCAGAATATATAAATGACGGATCTAGTCGAATAAGTCTGATATCAAAGAGGACTTAATAAAATTATTATTATTTCAACTTTTAATTATGTTTAATACGACCACCCAAAATATAAATTAGCAACAATAATTATAATTTCAATCCATGAATCCAATATTAGTATTTATTTTTCTCCCTTTTTTTGGTCAAATTATTTATTTTTCTCTTTATTTCAACTTTTTATATTTTGGGAAAAACCACCATAATTATAAACCTTGAGACAACTGAGCGCGAGAGAGGATCCTCATTGAATTCTTTTTGTGAGGATCGTTAAGATTCTCTAATCACATCCATTTATTGTACATCACGAGACTAATTTTTATCAGATACTGTTTATATTTAATTATAAATAAAAAAATTTACAATAATTTTTTATCGCACAATATACGATAAACGGATATGATTGAAATATCACCAGATTCTTATAAAGACAATCCGACTCCTAGGACGGAGCGCATCAGTGGGACTCTGTACGAGGATGTATTACATCAACCTGTTCCAATAAATGCCAAAAAGTAAGGGTACTAAAACTTAACTAACGTCAACCCACCAATCCCACACCTCCACGTAATCACTCACAGTTTAAACGGGGATTTTTCAATGCGATCGTTACACAATGTGGTATACCATACGTATCATTATATAAATAATGAGATATACGTGTTAAAAAATTAATAATTTAAAAAATAAAATTTCTAATCATTTACATAAAAAATCTGGTGTACCATACGTTTCGCGACAATAAAAAATTTCTACCACATCAACCCCCTTTTGTTTCCTCGTCAAACATTTATCACAGGTAGTATAGTTATCGGCTAGTCAGCGCAGTAGCTCTTCCACTTCATCTCCCTCCGCACTCGGCCAGTAAGCTCCTTACAGCTCCAATGGCGTCCGTGCTCAATACGGTGTCGTCTATCACCTTATCGAAGCTCAACACCAACCGAGTTCGGGCTCAGTCCGCCTTCGCGCCGGTTTCCGTGTCGTTTACCAGTGAGTCCACTCGCTTATTTGCTCCGTGTTTGGTTGCCGGCGAATTCAAATTCCAGCAAAACAATGCTCAAGTTTCATTTCCAACCTCCAATCCAATTTTTTCAAAATTTTTATTCCTTTTCAATTTATTTGTTCTCATTAATCTATTGACAAGTAAGATTTACTGATTGAGAGTTTTCGAAAATTTTGAAATTTGCAGGAAGGAGGCTTACTGTTAGGGCTGCGGAGACCGATACCAACGAAGGTTTTTTGTTATATTAAACTATAAAGATTCTGCATTTCCTTTTGTTTTTGTGAAATTTGAGAGTCGGGGGGGTTTATAGGGAGAGATTTTGAGTTTTGAAGTTGAGATTTGTGTTTTTTTTTCTTTTGGTAGCGGTTGAATCTGCGGTACCGGATAAGGCGCCTGCGAAAGGCGGTTCGAGCTTCAATCAGCTTCTGGGGATTAAAGGAGCTTCAAAGGAAACTGTATGTCGTCAATGTTGGTTCTTTATTATATGAGTTTTAGTACCTTCTCTTTGGGTGTGTTGGTGTGTTTGCGTAAATTTGGTTTTCTTCATATGATCCTTGAAGCTTTATTTTGTTGAACCGAACTCGGGGAAGAACTTCTTTGTCTGTTAATAAATTGGTAGTGGCTGGAATAACTTTTACATGCATTTTGTGTGTAAGAAGCAGATGAATGCTTAGCATTTAAATCCTGAAAAGAAAAAAAGAAAGTAATAGGTGTTTTTGGAATAGTTGGTACTTTACACGACGGCATTTTGTTCACTGCGATTATGGTATCTAATTAGTAAAGTGGATGGTCTGAGTTTTGGGTTTTAGTTAATATGCTTTTTTAGTGGATAATAAGTTGATAGAATCATAGTGACAAAAAACTTTTGAGACGGGAGTTGAATCTGTGAGTTAAACTGTGCAGAACACATGGAAGATTCGGCTTCAGCTGACAAAACCTGTAACTTGGCCTCCACTGGTATGGGGAGTGGTTTGCGGAGCTGCTGCTTCTGGTACGCTCGTCCTATATACCTGAGCATTCATAGTTCGAACTCTCTAGTTACGTTATACTTGTTGGTTCATGATTGAAAATTCTGTATGGAGCTATTTAAGTCCTCTACAACTTAAAATGCACAGAAATATTCCTGTTTCCCATCTCCTCCCAGTTCTCATTTTCAAAAGCTTACTTTACTTCAGAAGTTCCTGCATTAATACTGCCATGTTATCTTTGGATGTGCTGCTTTCCATGAACACTTTCTGGAAAAAAAAAAAGTATACTAATTTATGAAATACTCTCTGGCTTGGCCAGTCAACCTATAAGATTACATACATGAGCCAGAATATTTTCCGTTTATGATGAATGTGGTCGGTATTTGGACTTGGAGATCCATTACGGATAAGAACTGGCACTTTACCATAATATTGATGCGAGAGCATGTATGCTACTCTATGGTGTCGGAGTGGTCAGAAGCTTTTGACAACCCATCTAATATTAGTGGCATTTGTTATGAGTTGTAGTGTGGAATTCCAGTTATATTCTCTACTTATCCCTTGTCCATGAATTACTTTTGAGGATATTTTTTCACGTTGTAGGAAATTTTCATTGGACTTTTGAGGACGTTGCTAAATCAATAATGTGCATGTGCATGTCCGGCCCTTTTCTCACTGGTTATACCCAGGTATGATGATTTACTTGGGATGCATAGTTTGATTTTGGTTTTGATTGGTGAGATCTTTATCGTCCCATTACTCCATGCCTTCTTTTAGACTCTGAATGACTGGTATGACCGAGAGATTGATGCAATTAATGAACCTTATCGTCCAATTCCCTCAGGAGCAATATCTGAGAATGAGGTAAGGGTACTAGCTGTATTTTGGCTTTATTGTATAAAAACTGATGGATGACGACTGTATTTTTAATCCTGTAATTTGTTTTCGTTCAGGTTATTGCTCAAATATGGGTGCTGCTTTTAGGAGGCCTTAGCTTTGCTGGTATATTAGATGTGTGGGTAAGTATTCAAATGATGGACCGGCTCTTTCTTACACTTGTAAATATTTAGATCGGATGTCAATCATGAATAACTGTCCTTTTCAGGCAGGACATAACTTTCCAATATTATTTTACCTTGCTTTGGGTGGATCCTTGCTATCATACATTTACTCTGCTCCACCTTTAAAGGTAGTTTTCCCCACTATCAACAAATCAAACACTTTGCTTTGTTTGATGTTCCAGAAGAAACTTTGCTTAAGCCCTGACAATGCTTCATGAGTTGTTGCTTGCAGCTGAAACAAAATGGATGGATTGGAAATTTTGCCCTTGGTGCAAGTTATATCAGTTTGCCATGGTGCGATATCCCCTGCATTATATTTCTTTTGTGATTTACAAAAATTAGATCTTTCATATAAGGGCCTGAGAACTCGTGATTAGGGATCGTTTTGTACTTATGATTGATATAAAAGTATTCTGCACCCAAGAAATACATTGAATTAAATGGTTATCATCCCTCCTTGTTCTTGTAATTTTGTACCTCTTAGGACTCTTGTCACAACAGGTCTTCATTACTAATAAAGAACTGTGACCAATGATTTCATGTAGCTTGGTTGAATCCTAGAAACTGTTTTAGATATCCATGGTGCTGGGTAACGGATTTCAGTTCAATCTCTTATTGACAGGTGGGCTGGTCAGGCATTATTTGGGACCCTCACACCTGACATAATCATCCTCACACTCTTGTACAGCATAGCTGGGGTATGTTTCTGAAAGAAGTATCTTAACATGTGTTTACATAATTGCTCAAATCCAACTGACTGCATTTTTTTTTCCTGCCGCATTTTCAGTTGGGAATTGCTATTGTAAACGACTTTAAAAGTGTGGAAGGAGATAGAGAACTGGGACTTCAGGTCTTTAATCTTCTCCATTACAATGTTTTTAGCACTCTTAGTTGTAGTAACGTAACATTATTGTGGCAATGCTGTTTGCAGTCACTCCCTGTAGCTTTTGGTTCTGAAACTGCCAAATGGATTTGTGTTAGTGCCATTGACATCACTCAGTTATCAATCGCTGGTATGTTCATCTTCGCTGTGCAGATTGTTGTGATTATCGGACTTTGGATTGTGTTGTTTATGAGTGACCAAGCTAATCCTATATAGTTTGGAATACAAATTACTAAATTAGAGTTAATTGTACACATAAAGACGATTCATGTGACATCTGTTGAATGGTTTGCAGGTTATCTGCTAGGGGCTGGTAAACCATATCATGCATTAGCTCTCCTTGCCTTGATAGGTCCTCAAGTCTTTTTCCAGGTAGATCTCTTTTTAAAAGATTGTTGATTCAGCTTAATGGTAACCAGAATCGTATGCTAAATGGTGAACAAAACCGAGATAAACGCTTCTTATCCCGGTTTTGACACAGATTTTAACAGACATGACTCATAAGTCATAAGTACTTTGCTTACGAAATTTCGTGCTCTGCAGTTCAAGTACTTTCTCAAAGACCCCGTCAAGTACGATGTTAAATATCAGGTATTATTTCAAGAGCTACATCAACTTATATTATATATTGCCTCCTAAGTGGCTCACATTCACCCGTTAATTCCATTAGATTCTTGAGCTCACATTCCGCCATTAAACTCCGCAATATGCGGAACACATTGATATACTCTAGGATTTTCGTTCCTTCAAACCCCTACTTAATTATCCAATATTGTACCATCAAAGAATGAGATGTTCAAATTTGCTCTGCGTGTATTCCAGGCCAGTGCGCAGCCGTTTCTCGTGCTCGGTCTTTTAGTAACAGCATTGGCGACAAGTCATTGACATTTTGAAGCACTTGGGTCGAAAAAGGAGAAGAAAAGAGAGAGAGAGAGAGAGAGAGAGAGAGAGAGAGAGAGAGAGAGAGAGAGAAAATTACACGACCACCCAATGCAGTGCTGCGGCAGTCAGGTAGAACAGCTAATGCCATCCTATGTCTTCCATCACTTGTAGCAAAGTTTTGTTGACGATTACGAATTATCATCTGTGTTTTGATTACTGCCTTGGGAAATGGAGGTTGCTGCTGTAAATATGGTGCTGCATTTGGCGGTGTTCATTTATCTTTAGGGAAATGATGGATTCATTCGACCGCCGATTTTGTCACACTTGAGATTTCGTGTTGCTCGTCTCACTTGAGCCTAATAACTAGATTCTTCTGTTGTTCTATATAAATTCTACCGTTTGTTGTGTTACAGTGACAAAGGATTGTGTCCTATAAGGCCTTATTTAGTAAGGAGGATTAGATTGGAGTGGAATGGGCAGGACACTGTTGAAGGTAGAGATTATCCATTTCATTCCAATCCGGTCCTCGATAGTCGATATCGAACGAGCTGACACCAACCCTCAAGGTGGAAGCAATCAACTGCCCGATACCTCGATTGCTCTCACAAAAAATGGAATTTGGATTCTCGCCCAATCCTCTTTGTGAGGATTCTATGAATCATTCATCGCACATCGTGCAGATCAGAAATCATTTTAAATATTTTTGTTTAAAATTAAATACAAATAGGACAAAAACTAACTGTACGACGTACGATGAACGAATATGATTTACGAACCCTTACGATGAACGAATATGATTTACGAACCCTCACCAAAAGAATCTGGAGAGGATCCTGTCCCCAAAAAAAGGGCAATTCGCAAAATATTGAGTCGTTCTACTCCCCCCTTACATCGAAATTGGCAGAAATCGCCCATAACTCATTAGGGACTTGTGATTCTGAATAATGTTTAATCATATATATAAGATCGGAAGCATTCAATGTTCAGTAAACTCAATTTATATTGAGCACCTACGCATAAGCGTGTTTGAATCTTCCGACATCTTCTACATTCAACTTAGGACAACCATACAATTTTGCATCTATTTTTCCATTTAAAATTCATTGGATTTAGTCAGGCGATTTGCATCTATTTTTTCATTTAAACTCTTCCATTTATTCTTAAAATATTGAAACTCTTCCATCGTGCTATTTAAACTCTTCCATTTATTCTTAAAATATAGTACTTATTCTGTTAAGAAGCCCTCCAATCACCGAGACTAATGGAAGGGTTTCTTGTACAAGTGCTTACAAAAAAAAGCAATTTATAGTTTTCAAAAACGATGAATGATTATTCAAGTACTGGATAATTAGATGAATAAAATGCTTCAGCTGCAGATCCATTTTTTTGGTTTTTTTTAAGACATTTATGAACAAATTATGTTTGTTCTTTAAAAATTCCTAGAATTATAAAACATTCCTCTTGCAATTTTTTTTCTTTAAAAATCGATTCAAAAAATAAAAATCCCCCTTGAGAGAAGAAATTTTTAATTGTGACGGGAGAATACAAATTGGTACACCACATATTTTTAAGTAGAAGCAAGCAGATTGGATTTTTTTAATTTAGTTTCCCCCAACCATCTAAAATTGGTAGATAAACAAAAAATTAAGATATTCTTTCTTAAGGTAGAATATTTTTTTTTCAATTAATAACACATATCCTACCATCTATATAGTGACATGTGATGTACCATATCTTACCATCTATATAATGACATGTGATGTACCATGTGATGTGCCTGTCATACTAAAAAAATCTCTCATATGGGAGAACGAAATGGTAGTTCAGCTTCCATTCCAAATATTGGTGTTAACACTCCGGATTGACTATTAATCGTTAGCTCAATATCGATACTCGATATTTCACCTGATCAATTGGAAATGCAAAAGGGTGTTGTAACATATCATTGATTCGCCCATTGATACAATTACCAGAAAGTTAAAAAAGTACAAACACTTATGTACAGACACTTAAAGTTAAAGAAACCTCAAAACAAGCTTGGATACACAAGATGCTGGCGATGTAATTTCTAACTCCGACCGACACTGAACACACTTGGACAAGCATTATTACTACAACCACCTACGAAGAACAAAGACACTAGACACACCACGCATCCTACAACCCTAGTTAAACCAAACTTAGAAACCCTAATAACAAAAACTACAAGTCAGAGGCCTTGGGCTTGGAAGCACTGGTTAATAATCCATGTTAGCGGCTCTTCGTCTTGTACTTGGACTCGTCAATCTCGATGCCTTCCTCGGCAGCACGCTCTCCTCCGGACTTGTCCTTAGTGCTAAGCCCGCCCTTTTTGCCCATCTCCTGGTACCCTTCATGTCCAATCTGCTCCTTCCTGGCCTCGCCTCCGCGGTGGCCCAGCTCCTGGTACCCTTCATGACCAAGCTGCTCCTTCCTGGCCTCGCCTCCACGTTGCCCCAGTTCCTGATACCCCTCATGACCTAGCTGCTCCTTCCTTGTCTCACCTCCGCGGTGGCCCAGTTCCTGGTACCCCTCATGACCTAGCTGCTCCTTCCTTGTTTCGCCTCCACGGTGGCGTCCTTCAACGCCATGCACACACAACTATCATTAGCCAGGTCCAAAAAGCTACACACAGTAGATTGAAATTTAGGATGCATATTTTTTAAGGTTTACCTTCAGCAAGGTGCTCCTGAGCATCAAGGTTCTTGCCGCCCGTTCCCCCTGGAACGACGGTCTCTCCCTGCCTTGCCTTTTGGTCCAGTTCTTGCCTTCTCTGTGGGTCTCGCCTTTCCTGTTCGGATGCCATTTCTCTTATTGTTTCTCACGTCACGGAACTCTTTTGAATTTTGTCTGAAATTGTTGCTGAGTTAAATTGGAGGGAAATAGTTGTTTTTATAGGGGTAGGGATGGAAGGCGAGTGATGAGGCAAAAGGGAGGAGGAGGTGACACATAAGGGTACACGCGGCTGACGGGGAGTTTTGGAGTAATGCCACGTAGGTGTTTTTGTCAGTGAAGAAGTAGCATGGGGTTTGGAGAACGACACGAGTCCGTAGCTTCATGGTCATCACTGCTATAACTCTATATCTTTGTTTTCTACTTTTCACCCTATAGGTCTGCACCGAAGCAAATGTGCTGCTACAGTGCACCAGCACGCTTGCCTAGAGAGAGAGAGAGAGAGAGAGAGAGAGAGAGACCGAAGCAAATGTGCTGCTACAGTGCACCAGCACGCTTGCCTAGAGAGAGAGAGAGAGAGAGATTGTTCATGGTTTAAACTTCGAACTGATCGAATGGGTTTTGCGGTGAACGCGGCTGATGGGAGCTCTGGAGGTTTTGGGGTGATGCCACGCAGCTGATGTGCTCTGTCAAAACGGTGTTTAACTCTGCAGTAAGAATGACACGAGTCCATTGCTTTTTGGTGACTCACTCAACTCGGTCCACACTGTATCTGGCACCGTTGCCAAATGATATGATCGATCTTGCAAATCATATACCATACTATTCTAATCTATTCTTGTCTAATCTAAGATCAATCTAAAAATTGGGTACAAGGAAGCACAAATCAGCACTAAAAGTCACAAAAGCACAAAAATAATATTATTCGACTGAAAAGCTAAATATGAGGGGGCATGACATGAATTAAAAGCTATCATTTGCTACCAAAATGGACAGCAGCTTCAAAAAAAAAAAATAATAATAATAATTGAATATTAAATGAGTTGTATAAATTTAATTTATTCTTTTTTAAAAGAATTATTATATAATATTATTTAATAAAATAATAATTTAATTTGACATCATGAGTGACGAGCACAACTTTAAATGATGTCAAACTATATATAAGCTTTCAAATTTAAATTTGGCTTTTTAGACCATCTCCATAAGAAATATCAAATTATAAGAGTCAAATTACAATTGATGACTGATGTGGCAATCTGAAGCCTTATGTCAAATTTTGTACTTCTCCAACCGAATTGTCAAATATTATTTTATTATTTAAATAGAGTTTTAAATGATTGTAATTATTAAAAAAAATGTTGAAATAAAAATTTTATTGGTTAAAATGTTAGTGGAATAAGGGACCCACTATTAAAATGAATTAAAAATAAATTTGACATCAAATCACTAAGCCTTCAAATCCAGTCAGCAAATAACATTTCGGTTGGAGAGACTTTTGATGTCAAATATATACAGTGGCATTCCACCTAGGATTTTGACATCTCCCTTGGAGATGCACTTAGCCAAAATAGTCTACGAGATTTGCATAACTCCTCACTTTGGTCCCTGATATTTGAAATCAATATAATTGGTTTCTGAGTTTATCCATCATTAATTATTTTGGTTATTCCTTGAAAAATCTACATTATATAACAATAGAATAACCAAAATACCCTTAATTTTTGTCAAATCATTTTGACTCATTATTTATTAAATTGAGGGTATATTTATCATTTTCATCCCTATTTAACATAATTTTGCACGGAATAACCAAAATGATTGATGGTGGACAATCTCAGGAACCACTTCTATTGATTTCAAATCTCAGGGACCAAAGTTATGTGTTATGCAAATCTTAGGAGCCATTTTGGCTAAAAAGCCTTTAAAATTTGTGGTTAAAATATGGCATTTTTTTAACAAACTAAAACTCTAATTTCTTTTACAAAAATTGCTCTGTAATTTTTTTGAGAGAAATTATTCTGTAATTTTTTTGTAACGTGTAAATTAACAACATAACAATAATATAACCTTCACGTTAAAATAAATTCCTTAGTACAAGAAGTTGAGACTTATTTGGTTAGATGCCAATTTTTTTCCCTAATAAATGCAAACCAGAAGAACAATGGTGAAATCATTAAACCAAGCGCAATTTTATGATTGGGCCTCAAATGGACTACAAGTCAATTGTAGTGGACTCCACCATTGAGTTGTGTTGTGAGAATTTCCGGCCCAAATATTAGCAAGCCCGTCTTATTCACCCGCGCGCCAAAACCGGCGGCCCATCAGATCCAAAAACACGCGAGACAACCTGAATTTGGTCCTCAGACGTCTCTCCAGTTCTGGTAAAAGATTCTTCCCCATTTGACCTCCGTTTATGCAGGAAAATAAACGTACTTAACCACTAATTAATTACTATAATGAATTGTCAACTCAAAAAATTACTTTTAATTGTACTCAAACCACTAATTAATTACTTCTAATTATTCTCCCAATGCCTGCCAATTCAGTTTGAACAAAGAGGAAGACGTGACCGTTCATTGCTCATAAGTAAGAAGAAGAGGAGGAGGAGGAGAACTTGGTCTTTTCCCTTCCCTTCTTCTTCTTCTGATCAAAACCCAGATTTCGATTTCCAAATCCAGTTCGAAGTTTGGAATCGAAATCCCAAAAAACATGGAAGAAAACCGAAATGAAAACCCCAATCCGACGAGCCCACCACAGCCGCCGCCGCCGCCGCCCAAGAAGCCGCCGATTCCGCCGTACGTGAAGGCCCTGTCGGGTTCGCTCGGCGGCATCATGGAGGCCGCGTGCCTACAGCCCATCGATGTCATCAAGACCCGGCTCCAGCTCGACCGGACCGGCACCTACAAGGGAATCATCCACTGCGGCGCCACCGTTGCCCGCACCGAGGGAGTCCGGGCTCTCTGGAAGGGCCTGACCCCCTTCGCCACCCACCTGACCTTGAAGTACGCGCTTCGGATGGGCTCCAACGCCGTGCTGCAGGGCGCGTTTAAGGACGCGGAGACCGGGAAGGTCAGCAACCATGGCCGGCTCATTTCTGGGTTCGGAGCTGGAGTTCTCGAAGCTCTCGTCATTGTCACGCCGTTTGAGGTCTGTGCATTTGTCTTCTTAGTTTTCAATTGAAAAGATGACAACTTTATTCGAATTTCGTAATGCGGGTTAGATTTGTATCTTGGGGTAAATTCGGGTTAGATTTGTATCTTGGGGTGGTAGGTGGCATGTTACAAGCTATATTCTACTTTAAACTAATATTTTAAAGTGAACGGAGATTCGGACTTATGCACCACTAATCTTTTAAAGTGGATGGAGATTCGGACTTGGGTGCATAGGAACTACATTTGCTAGAGCCAATGTAGCTATGCCAGAATGCCAAAATTTGATTTCTTCGTGGATTTTATCTATGATTGGCAATTGTGTGGCTAAATTTAGATAAGAGAATTCAGGGAAGATACTGATTTAATTTGTTTATTTTGCGACCGACCGCCTTTTATGTTTTGAATTGCTCATTGCACTTGCTTAATCTCTTCCGATCGCTGTTAGTTTGCATCCGAGAGTGATGCTCTCGTGCGAATCAAAACACAAATATGCTAAGGTTGAGATTTAAATCTCAACAGCTCACTCGTGAAAAATAATGTGCGTAAGAGAATTAGCATTTTGTCCGAACATGTATGAACTCTTAAGCATCGATGTGGGATTGTTTAAGATTGTGCTGTTAGTTGCATTAGTTATACTCAGTTTATAGCTGAAATGGTTAGCTGGTTATATGGCATTGTTGGCTTCAGTCAGTTAGTTATGCTCTTGAGGGAGCTCCTGTGTGAATCTTTGTGTGCAAGCTAACATAGGTCATTCAAGAAAACAAGGAAATTCTGCGTATTCATTGTCGGCTTTGGTCCTGATTGATGCAGGTGGTGAAAATTAGACTACAGCAGCAGAAAGGATTGAGTCTTGGGCTTCTGAAGTATAAGGGTCCTATTCACTGTGCTCGTACGATCATTCGGGAGGAAGGTATCCGTGGGCTTTGGTCAGGTGCTGCTCCGACTGTTATGCGCAATGGCACGAACCAGGCTGCCATGTTTACAGCCAAAAATGCGTTCGATGTTCTCTTGTGGAAGAAACATGAAGGAGATGGGAGAGTCCTGCTGCCATGGCAATCTATGATATCTGGTTTCCTTGCAGGCACAGCCGGCCCCATTTGCACGGGTCCCTTTGATGTTGTGAAAACGAGGCTGATGGCTCAGAGCCGAGGTGTGGATGGCAAGATGACAAGGGCATGATTCATGCGATCAGGACAATATACGCAGAGGAAGGGCTTCTGGCTTTGTGGAAAGGACTCCTGCCTCGGCTCATGAGGATACCACCCGGGCAAGCCATTATGTGGACTGTGGCTGACCAAGTGATAGGATTGTATGAGAAACGATATCTTCGTAATGCACCCTTGTAGGGTATCATCATTTCATTGGTTTGCTTGTTCTGGTTTTCAATTCCATTGCAATAATACATCCCCCAATCATCTTAATTTAGCAGTTAGTGTTTCCTCTTTGAGTTTCTTCGGCTTCTCCAAATGTACACCGGTTCTTTAAGACCTGATCAGTATTTTTGACGATTGGTAGGAGAATAGGCAACTTCTCATCTTTATAGAAATAAACTCCATTATGTAGCAGTTATGATCGCAAGGATGTCTCAATGGAAATCACAATTTTTGTCTGTTCAATTTATATCAAGAACTGATTGTTAGAGAACTAATTAAAGATGATGTTTTCTTTGTTTTAATCTTAAAGTAACTGTACTTAAGAGTTGATGTGTTGGTGTTACCGTGGGAGAAATTCTAGAATCCAGGCATCTGGACCACGCGGCCACCTGACCGCGTTATTGGTCCCCTGTCCCTCTTGTGTCTGTTATCCTATATGGGCATCCGCACTCAAGAATTGCTGGATCCCAAGGAAAGAGTGGTGACTTTTCCGACTCACCGAAGTCACAAAAGAAAGAACATGCTATGTCACAAACTTCTTGTGTATTTCGTAACACAAACATGCCATGTATGTACATTCACGAAAATGAAATTTCCATCACAGCATGGTTAAACGATAGAAGTGTGAAATAATTGGGAAATTGGAGTTATTTTAATGGATTGCATTCCAATATCAAACCAATTTTCTGAAACACAATAGCTTATAATTTTCATAATACATATTAATACCATTCGTCTATAGTTTTCGCTACATCGTCATAGTTTATTGTTTTGATTTCACTTCATAATGAGATGTTGGAGAAAACTGATTTTTTATTGCGAGAGAATGACTGTATTGTTCCAGTTAGAACAATAAAACTTTGTATGTAGACGATATCGCAATTGAGAAGTTGGGTCTCCAAAAAAACGATGGTGATTTCGAGATGCGGATATCAAAAAGTAGAGTCCTAAGAAGTAGGAGCATGAACGTTAGTATTAGAGACGTCATTGGAATTCAAATGCTTAAGCATAATAATAACTTTCGTGGAATTGAATAATAGGCTTGGAGACATCTATTCATACACAACGTACCTTCTGATAAACCATAACTTGGTTGTTTGCTATGACTCTTCCACTACAGATGCTGCTGCTAAGAGTTGGGGATATACTCTTGTATTATCTCTTATATTTCGGGATTGATATAGACTAGTTAGTTGTAATCAGTTTGACTTGTAACTCTTTGATGTAATTCATTCCTATAAATACAAACACACAACCTCTCTCATATTCAACTGAGTTGAGCATCAACAACTGTTTAAGCCTTTTATAATCTTATGTGTGATTATTTCTCCTTTATGGTATCACAGAGCTAAGAAAGTCTCACGACAACCCTAGAATTTTTTTTTCCTTCTTTGCCATGGCCTCTTCTGCATCTTCCCCCTCTGACTCCTCTTCTGCCCTACCCCCTTCTGCTATCCCTAATGTCTCCAATTTTTGACGATCAAGCTTGATCGTACCAACTATCCTCTTTGGCATGCGCAAATGCTTCCCCTGCTTCGTAGCAGGAACCTCGTCTTCTTCGTTGATGGCACTAGTCAGTGTCCTTCGGCTTTTCTCAAAGATTCTGACGGCAATCTCACCAATACTGTCAACCCCGCTTTCGAACTCTGGATGCAGCAGGATGCCATGGTTATATCATGGATCAACAGTTCCGTTCACCCCACTGTTTTGGCCACTCTTATTGGCAAAACTAGTTCTCACTCCACTTGGACTTCTCTCCGTGAGCGTTATGCTTCCACATCAACTGGTCGTCTTTTGCAACTCCGGAGTGATCTGATGAACACACATCGTGGTGATTCATCCATTGCTGATTTTTTGGATCGTGTGAACTCTCTCGCTGACACTCTATCTCTCTCGGGGTCTCCTGTTTCAGACTCGGACTTGGTAGCCATTGTTCTCAACAATGTTGGTCCTGCGTTTGAAAGCACTGTCTCGTCTGCTCAAGCTCGAGAGGATGCCATCTCCTATGGTGCTTTGGAGGCCTTGCTTCTCGGTGCCGAACGTCGTCAAAAGATGAGTCAGGTGCTCTACCTTGATGCTGCCCCTACTGCTCTCGTTGCTGGCCGTGGAGGGCGCGGTTTTCAGGCCGGTCGTGGTCGTGGTTTTCATGCTGCTGTGGGTCGTGGCGGTCGTGGTCCTGTTCAAGGTGGTCGTGGCGTGATTCGACAACCAGGAGCTCATGCTCTTCCTGATGGTGTTCTTGGTGTTGGCCCTCAGCAAGGTCATGGCTTTAATCCCAATGGTCGTGTTCAGTGTCAAATCTGCCACAAACCTGGTCACTCTGCTATCAATTGCTACAATCGTATGAACATGGCATACGAAGGTCGCATTCCTGCGCCCAAGCTTCAGGCCTTTGCTGCCGCTGCTCATGCTCCTGACCATCTCCCTGTGGCTCCCCCCTCAAGTTCAAAATTGGCTCTTTGATTATGGAGCTAATGCTCATATTACGAATGATCTCACACAAGTGGCTGATCCCCGAGAGTACAATGAAAATCACCATGTGAATGGTGTAGTTGGCGGCACAGGTTTGCATATCTCTAAAGTTAGTCACTCACATATTCGCACTCCCTCCCATACCTTTAATCTTTCCAACACCTTATATTGTCCCAATGCTTCTACCAATATTATTTCTATCAATCGTTTTACTATGGATAACCACTGCTCCCTAACCTTATATCCCCATTCTTATCGTGTTCAGGACTTAACAACAGGGAGGACCCTTTTGCAAGGCCGGAGTAAGAACGGCTTCTATCCTTTTTCCAGTCTTTCATCAAACAATAAACATGGCGTTTTTGCATTTTATGGTGGTTGCGTCTCTGATGCAGTGTGGCACTCTAGATTAGGGCATCCTTCTTCTTCTATTTTAAAGTTTTTAGTTGCTAGAAATAAATTGCCAATTCATGGCCATGTGACTTCTGCTCTATGTCATTCTTGTCCTCTAGGCAAAAGTCACAAGCTTCCCTTCCCGCTTTCCAGTTCAAATTCCCAATTTCCTTAAGATTTAATTCATTCGGATGTATGGACTTCCCCGTCTTACTCGATTGATGGATTTAAATATTATGTGATTTTAGTTGATGATTATTCGCGCTACTCTTGGATATATCCTTTAAAACTAAAATCCGACGTGTTTAATACTTTTGTCACTTTTAAGAAACTCGTTGAAAATATGTTTAGTAGACAAATCAAATCTTTGCAAACGGATGGTGGTGGTGAATATATGAATCATGTTTTTAAAACCTATTTATCCTCTCATGGCATTCATCATCGTTTTACATGTCCTCATCACCCTGAACAAAATGGCCTTGCCGAACGTAAACATCGACATATGGTTGAAACTGGCCTTACTCTTCTTGCTTATGCATCCATCCCTGTCACGTTTTGGGTAGAAGCCTTTCACACTGCCAATTATTTGATTAATCGCTTGCCCACCAAAGTTTTACATAATGCATCTCCCTTTCAAAAATTATTCTCCACTCCTCCTAACTATGAATTTTTAAAGGTTTTTGGTTGTGCATGCTTCCCATATCTTCGCCCATATAGTCAAACCAAACTTCAATTTCGGTCTAAAAAGTGTATTTTTCTTGGATATTCTTTAAATCAGCTGGGCTATCGTTGTTTTGATCCATCCACAGGCAAACTTTTTATGTCTCGCCATGTTATTTTTGATGAAAAATGCTTTCCCTATAAGGATATGGTTGTTCCTCCGGTTCTGCATGCTCCATCCCCTGACATGATCAACATTGACCACATCCTGCCACCTACAGTCTCAAATCCCACCACCTCTCACCATCTCAATCCTATTACCTTGCCAACTCCTTCTCTCCTGCCACCTACAAACCCACTCGCCCACACTACCCACCGTGTCCACCCTATACCCTTGCCACCTAATCCTACCCCACCTCTACCTTTATCTACTCCTACTCCACCGCTTGCCAACCTTACTATCCCTATCATATCATTCACTATTCCTCCAGACTCCACTATTTCCCATACCTCTAACCCTTCCCCATCCTTACCTTCCCTTGCGAATATTGGGATCACGAGCACTGTGCCACTGACACCTCGTCCACCATCTCACTCCATGCTTACTCGAGCCAAAGATGGCATTTGTAAACCTAATCCCCGCTATGCTTTAATTGCTGTCACTAATACTTTGGTTGAACCTTCTAGTTTTACACAGGCTAACAAATGTCCTCGGTGGCATCAAGCCATGGCTGAGGAGTTCACAGCTCTCCAACGCACTGGCACTTGGACTCTTGTGCCGCTTCAACCATATCTTAATGTTCTTCCAAATAAATGGGTTTACAGAATCAAACGCAAATCCGATGGCTCCATCGAACGCTTTAAAGCCCGACTTGTTGCTAATGGCTTTCATCAGCAGGAAGGCCTTGACTACGCCGAAACGTTTAGTCCTGTGGTTACTCACACCACCATTCGCTTAATTATTTCTGTTGCACTGCACTACAATTGGTCTATCCGACAGTTGGACATTCAGAACGCCTGCTTACATGGTTCCCTCTCTGAAGATGTCTATATGTGACAACCCCAGGGCTTTGTTGATCCTCAGTTTCCAACTCATGTCTGCAAATTGCAACGTTCACTTTACGGACTCAAACAAGCCCCCATGGCGTGGTTTCAGTGCTTCTCCAATCATCTAGAGGCACTCGGGTTCGTTGCTTCCCAAGCTGACTCATCCTTATTTACTTACTTTGATGGCACCACCATTATTTATCTCTTGATTTACGTTGATGACATTTTGGTCACTGGAAATAATAGTTCGCAGATTGCCCAACTCATTGCTAAGCTTGGCTCCCTTTTCTCTATGAAAGATCTTGGGCCCCTACATTATTTTCTAGGAATGGAGGTTACTCGTACCACATCTGGATTTCATTTGTCCCATGCCAAATATATCAGGGACCTTCTTCAAAGAACACACATGGTCGACTGCAAGCCCATCCAAACGCCATCATCTCATGGTCGTCGTTTGCTTCTTCACGAAGAAGATCATCTTTCTGATGCTACTGAATACCGTAGTGTCATGGGTGCCCTTCAATATTTGCTCTTTACTCGTCCCGACATTGCCTTCTCTGTCAATCAAGTATGTCAGTTCATGCACTCTCCCACAACGGTACACTGGGCTGCTGTCAAACGCATTTTGTGTTATCTTAAGGGCACTCATGATCATGGCTTGCTCTATCGTCCAAGTTCCCTATCCATCACAGCTTATGCGGATGCGGACTATGCCGGTGATCCTAATGATAGTCGTTCCACAGGCGGTTATTGTATTTTTCTTGGATCTAATTTAATTTCATGGAGCTCCAAGAAACAACGTGGCGTTTCTCGCTCAAGCACTGAAGCTGAGTATCGTCAACTCACTTATACTGCCACTACTTTGTCTTGGTTTCGCAATTTATTTCATGATCTTCATCTTTATCTTACACCCCCTCAGTTATGGTGTGATAATATAAGTGCTCTTGCCGTTGCTTCGAACCCTGTATATCAAGCACGCATGCGACATGTTGAAGTTGATTACCATTATGTTCGTGAGAAGGTTACTCGGAAGGAAATTATTGTGGGATATGTTGCATCTCCGGATCAGGTAGCAGATTTTCTGACCAAAGGCTTGTCTTCCACTCGGTTTCAATTTCTTATTTCCAAGCTTCCCGTTCTTGGTCGACCGCTTAGCTTGCGGGAGCGTGATAAACCATAACTTGGTTGTTTGCTGTGACTCTTCCACTACAGATGCTGCTGCTAAGAGTTGGGGATATACTCTTGTATTATCTCTTATATTTCGGGATTGATATAGACTAGTTAGTTGTAATCAGTTTGACTTATAACTCTTTGATGTAATTCATTCCTATAAATACAAACACACAACCTCTCTCAGATTCAACTGAGTTGAGCATCAACAACTGTTTAAGCCTTTTATAATCTTATGTGTGATTATTTCTCCTTTACCTTCAACTTGCATAATTACTTCTAGAAATTTGTTTATTCTCATGAACTAGTAATTTGGATAGTTAGAAAACGAAGATATGTAAATAATTAGTAATAAAGATTATGTAAATTCTCCAAAGTTGTGATATGAATGACAGAAAGCCCCATAAAAAGCAATGGCATAATGCACATAATTATTAATCGAAAGACACATACTAGACGGATCTAAAGCCACTCAACGCACGAAGAGAATAGGCGATGGCAGACACGTGGACACAAAGGACACAACCGTCTTTTTAATGTAGAGAAGCTGGTAGAAAACACTGAGAAAGAATTTTTTTGGAGGGCATTTGCGCCATTTTACTACTCTAGAACAGTACCACCCGAGTTTGGCTTTTAATATATATAAATTTTAGATATTTTGCTGTAACTTTCTATTGACTAACTTGTACAATAAGATGCGGGAGAAAACTGAATTTTTTTTGCTTTAATCTACATTCGTTGAGGATATGGTAAACAATCACTCGAGCTTGGTCACTGTGACCCTCTTGTGAGTGGGTACCCCTAATATCGCTTAGATTTAAGAAAGATTCGCTTGGATTTATCTGTGGTTTGTTTATTCCTTATCCCAATAATCCCAATCCGAGAGTGCTTACTACACACGGAGTTGGAGTGGGAGCGACCCAGTGAAAGATGTCAAGGTGCGACTAACGCACACGAAAAAAAATGATTGATCTCTATCAATAAACCTGCTAAAAGCTGATTTTGATTATGATTTTCCTTGCGATGATTCAAGACAAGGTGGGACGGAAGGAATTTGTTTTCAACGAAGAACAAACCAAAAAAAGGTTATTGTTTAGGCTCATGACTGTATTGTAGTCGTAGTCTTGTAATCGCCCAGGAATGCCGCCATCCAAGCACGAATACCTTCGTTTATGAAAATATTTTTAATTTAGAAAGCCTTAAATTCAAGGTCTTCCACCGCAAATTTCCAGAAAGTAGATGCAAGTCAGTCTTCTACTTCCATCTGACTTAAACGGTCAAACATAAGAGATCTACAATAATGACATCCATAAAATGGTCACATCATTAGTTTCTGCCTTCCAGTCTGTAAAATATGTAAAATCTTGAAGTATGGTGGCCCATTTGTTTTGCTTGTATATGGTGTTGAAGAGTGACCCATTTTTCGGCTTGTAACCTTTAAAACGTTTCCCTTGTTGATATATGTCTCGTTTGAAACTATTTTTAAAATGATTAAAAGTGTTTTTTGTTAACATATTTTTAGAATCAATTCTTTGTAAAAATGTAAGTAAATCCTAGAAAAACATTTGAAGTGCTTCATTCAAGTGTTTTAAAACCCAAAACATTAAACCAAAACAGTTTTTCTAAAAGCTCTTTAAGTTATTTTAAAAGTATCCCTTTATTGTCATCAAACTTTTAGTTAAGTTCACAAGTATAAAACTTTTCATCCTAATTATTTCAGTTCT